GTAATCCAGGTTAAAATGAGGCCATAAGGATGAGGCCTTAATCCAGTAGCACTGGTGTCCTTACAAGAAAGGGAAAAAACACCAGGGTGCTCTCTCTCTCCCCCAGTGGCTACGCACAGAGGAAAGGTCATGTGAGAACGGTGGCTTTCTGCAAGCCAGGAAAGAAAGGCTTCACCAGAAACCAACTTATTGGCAACCTGATCTTGGACTTTCAGTCTCCAGAACTGAGAGAATTTCTGTTGTTTAATCCACTCAGTCTGTGGTATTTTATTATGACAACTCTAGCTGCCTAATAAAGAAAAACAAATCAAAATCACAAGGAATTGCCACTTCATATCCACCAGGATGGCTGGAATCAAACAAATGTTGGCAAGAATATGGAAAAATCAGAATCCCTGTGGGCTGTTGTTAGGAATGGAAAATAGTGATGTCATTTAGAAAAACAGACTGGCAGTTCCTTAATCAGATAAACAGAGGTACCACACAACCCAGAATTTTATGAATAGGCATAAAAACATATGTCCATGCAAAAACTTGTAAATGAATGTTTATATCAGCATTATCCATAATAGTCAAAAGGTGGTAGTCCAAGTATCTACTGACTGATGAGTGGAAACACAGGCAGTATATCCAAACAATGAAATAGGATCTGGCCATAAAAAAGATGGAACACTGACATATGCTATAACATGAACCTTTTAAACATTAAGTTAAGCAAAAGAAGCCAATCACAAATGATTACATACTATATGATTCCATTTACACAAAATGTCCAGAATAGGCAGATCTGCAGAGACACAAGTAGATTAATGTCTACTTAGAGCTGGAGGAGTCAGGGATATAGAAGAGTGACAACTAAAGGATACAGATTTCTTTTTGAGGTGATGAGCTTTGTACATAGAGTCGTCCCTTGGAGGATTGGATCTACAACTCCTTTGAATACCAAACTCTATGGATGCCCAAGTCCTTGATATAAAATGGCACAGTATTTACATATAACCTATGCACATCCTCTGGTATATTTTAAATCATCTCCATATTACTTATACTAGCCTCATAAAACAGAGACAGTAGACAGTTGTATACTATATTGTTTAGGGAATAATGACAAAAAAGTCTGTTCATTTTCAGTAGAGATGCATTTTTTAAAAGAGTTTCAATCTATAATTGCTGGAATCCACGGATGTAGAACCCATAGATACAGAGGGCAGACTGTATCGATAAACACATTAAAAGCCACTGAACTATAACTTTGAATGAATTGTATGAGATGTGAATTATATCTCAATAAAGTTGTTACCCAAAAAAAAAAAAAACTTTTCAAGGTACTCTTCCGCTAAGATCTAACTACCCCAAGGGGCTCCTTCTGTCAACACTCACTCACCTGGGTACTTCCGGTTTAGGAATTTGACTTCTAGCGGCCATGGTTCTTCTCCTTGCTCCAACTTGAGGATAACCTTGGGTTTGGTAAAGCAGCACCCTGTAATGCAATAATTGAGGGTATAAATGGACCAGATCCATGAGCACTTGGATGGAAAAAAATGCAGCTGTAAAAGCATTAACTGAGAATATTCATCTGATGTTTTCGAAGAGAAGATAATGACAAAAACTGTTTTTGTTTCTGTAAAGGCTTCAATTACGAAGCCTTTTAATCTCTATAAAGAATCTATGTGTCTTGATAATTTTAAAAAAAGCAAACATGCTACAGAAGGATTCCTGTGGCAGGTCTGCTCACCCACTGCAACGAGGTGGCCGTAGTTCTCCAGCATCACGTCCCTGTATAGGCTCCGCTCCCTGGGACCCATCAGTCGCCACTCCTCCCGGGTGAGTTCCACAGTCACATCCTCGAATGACACGGATCCCTTCTGCAACGTATTTTGTTCAAGGTCTCAGAATTAGGTGACACAGAAAATACCTGAGAACTTTTCCTGTTTACTCTTGAGGCTCAAAAACAGTTGGTTATAGAGGCTTATTTTGGACCAAATTTCATCTTAAAACTTGTCACTCAGCTACTTTAAAAGGTTTCTAATTTACCATACCACATCTATATCAACATTTATGAATTCCAGATGTTTTTAAGACAGAAAAATTCAATGTAATTAAACCTTCTACAACTCTTCTTGCACATTCCCAGAATGATCGTATTCTCTAGGAAGTTCATACCCTCCTCGAACATCATCCCTGTAAATACTGGGAGCCAAGGAAGAAATAAATGTGAGCGCTAGAGAGAGAGCTGACCAAACTAATGTATAAGTAAATATATAAAAATAGAGAAATGTAGAGCTCATGAAGAACAAGGAACAGCTTACAAAGAAGTTGGAACCAATGAGACCATAGTAAGAAAACACTATGTACACTGAAGTAACAGCAACCGACATAAGAATAGGATATAATCACAGAGCAGAAGCAGCAACCATCTGATGATTATTGCTTGAGGTAGCAACCTAGTCTAGCTATGTGAGAAGCTGCTCTCTCTTTTTGTTTATTTTGTTTCTAACTGACAGAAAGACAAATCTTTCAAATAAGATCTCACTTATACACGGAATCTAAGACAGTAAAATGTATAGAAGTAAAGAAAGAATAGAATTGTGGTTACCCGAGTCTGGGGGAGAGGGGGAGAGGAACAGGAGATGTTGGTCAAAGGATACAAAGTTTCCATCAGACAAGAGGAACAAGTTTTCAAGATACTGCACAGCATGGTGACTCTAGTTAATAATAATATAATGTATGTTTCAAAATAATCAACATCTTGATAGTGTCAAAAACTGACAATTGAGAAACAAAAGGAAAAACGTGTGAGACGTTTGAGTGAGAGATCTGTTCTGGTTGCTACAATGGGGTGTGTGAGACATAAAGCTAGAACTGCCCTTTAAACCAATATACATGATTTCAGAAGGGAAGTCTAGGATGAAGAGAAACACTTAGGAGTCATTAGCATTCTAGCTGGTAACTGAAGTTATTAGACACAATCAGACAGCTCCTTGAGCACATTGGGATTAAGGAAAAAGTACCAAAACAAAAACACTTGAGGACCACATATATTAAAGAGGCTGGCA